TACAGCTTTTACTGCAGGTTCAGCATGTCATTATAGGGGAGGGTAGGGGTAACCTTTAAAATAAATACAACTAAGGAGTTGACGGAAGGAGGGCCAAGATGTTTGTAAGACAAGAACAATGCTTACATCGATGACAAAATGAGCCTCAACCCTCTTTCCCCCTAAAGCTCCCCCTTCCTAGCGACAGTGCGACTTCCTAGGAGTGCGACTGGTTTTGTTACTTTATTTCGTAGGAACCTCACTTTCATTTCCCACCATGTGACCCCTGCGCAGGCGCATTGGTCTTGATGGCTCATTTTGTCATCGATGTATTGTTCTTGTCTTTCCAAGGCTAATCTTCGTGGGGGCTTTGGGCAGCCCGCGTAGCGGGCTTACTGTTAGAAAGTGCTATCATAACGAGCACAAGTTCCGAATCTTTGATTGGCTGAGCGACCAAAATTCTGCACACCTCATTAGCCAATCAGAATTCAAGAATATGACAACAAACGTGCCTCGCAGCTAAATTTAGGCCTATTTTGGACGCTTTTACCACTACCCATAGAAAAATGATGGTGTAAAATGTGCTGAAAAATAACCATGGTTTTTCCGGAGGATTAGAAAATTATTTGTCAAAAGTGGAGTGTGATAGAAGCTTTTCCACTTTAAATATATAAAGAACAGGTTACGTAGTAATTTTTCGCAGCCAAACATGGAATCCTTCATGTTAATGTTCTTAGAAAAACATCTGTTAGATATGACATCCAGGACGATCACATTATCAACATATAAGTTCCTGTATTTAGAAACAGAATCAAACCAATGAGTTTAAATTTTTGTTTATTTAATGTTTAGTCAGCAAATGACATATTTAACATGTTCTGTTAACAATATTCTGTTCACCAGCATTATCTGTTATCCATGCACAAAATTACTGAATTTAAAAACTTGTTTTTCTTACAGACTAACATTTACTTATATTTTCCGAGGAGTTTTTCATTTGCTTATGGTGGGCCGGTTTGATCAAAATTTGCCCGGGCCAAAAAAATCCACCCATGGAAAGATCAGATCAAGCTTGTCTATTTATGTTTTGAACAAAGACAGGTTGTAAGAGTTTTTAATCATGCTGTTGGAAAAGAGCCATTCTGTCTGCTACTTTGAAATGAAAGAAAGCAGTGGCAAATTTGTGGAAAATTTCAGGAGGGGCAACAGTGTGAAATTTTCCGAATGTTACATGGTAAATGTTGTGGCTCATGGTAAATGATGTGGCTCAAAATAGCTTTGAACCGTTCTCAAAATGTGATGTGATGACTTTCCTAGTCCAGCAAAAGCTAAACCTTCATTCGACTGCCCCTCTCTTCAGCTAAACTTTCCTCAAACTTGATATAAACTTAAAATAATGAGGTAACTCAAAATGAACTTTCTTTGAGAATTTTGAAGCCGTCGATATCGAATACATGATATTAAATCACAATCTCCAAAACACTTTTATGTGAAACATTTTCATAGAAAAACTGTGAAAATAAATTAGTGTCAGGTTCTTCTCAAGAAAGTACTCAGCCCATCTCAAGAAAGTACTCAGGTCATAAAGACAGAAAAACAAATCATTACAGTATGGAAAATCATTTTGGGGTCATTCCATGTCACATCACCAGATGGTCCCATGGGCACCAACTCAGAATCTGTTGAAACTTCTATTACATGAAACTTTCCTGGAAAAAAGACAGCGCTGAAAATTTCAGCTTCATTGCTCGAACGGTTCAATAGTTATCAAGCTTTCAACTTTGAATTTCACATTTTGAGCTTCCAGCACAATTTTGCCAACTTTGACATTCAATAACTCAACAGTGCTTAATGGTATCATTTTGAAATTTGATGCCCAAGTACTTTTCCACCCAAATAAAACATTTCTGGCGTTACTTTCTACTAAGATGTACTATTTTTGAAGATATAGCTTGCTATAAATGATAAGGTTCTCAAGCTTTTCTCAAGGTTCTTTAGGGGGGTTCTCAAACTTTTCAAGAGGCTTTCATCAAGGCATGAATGACACCATCTCTTCAAGTTTTCTTGAAATCATTTAGAATATAATTGGGCATTTAGAAAAAACTAAAAATAAAGCTTCCTTTGTATTATAGTCCCTGTATTAGGCCACATTTTATAGAGGGTACTTTCACAAATTTGAGTAATTTCTCTGCATTTCGAGACTCTAAAAAGTTGCATAAGACTGTTGAAACTGAATTTCAAATTCATGCATTTTGAGCAATTCACATAAGATCTTTTATTTCAGAAAGTTTAAACAGTGGTTCTAAATCATAAGTAACTTAAATAACCTCTGTTTTAACCATGATATTTAGAAAATTGCCTTATTAAGGATGACATTTAATGTGACAAAAAAAACACAGAAATTATGAAACTACCATCATTAGAGAATCAAACTGTAATCAAAACTTTGTTAAAAAGGATTTGAACATGTTGCCAAATACTGTCTTCAATGTTTTAATTAAAAATTAATCAATCGATCAATCAAATATCTATTCCATAAATAAGGGTTATTCCATGCCAAATGGACCAAATTTTGAAGGGGTTTCACATGCACCACCTCAGATTTGTGGAAATGTCCATTACACAAGAAAGAAACATTCTGAAAATTTCAGCTTGATATCTTGTAGCATCCCAAAGATTTGGTTAATTTCCAGCTTCAACTCTGATAGTCATGTTTTAATATTTGGCCCATAATGGCAGCCGAATGTTGCTAAAATTTACTTCCGGAAGTCAAAAATTCAAATTTTGAAGGGCCAGTGTTCGAATTCAGAAAATCTAGATGAAGTAAGCTTATTTTTTGTTTATCTTTGTAAAGTTAATTGCTATTTTGGAGCAAATCACAAGGTAGAAATTATCAATTCAGAAATTATTAGCCTGTTTTGCCCCCACAGAAGTAGGATAGAATTTCCCTTGATGGTTGAAATTTTTTGCACACGATGCTAGTTATAATTAAATGGAATCAGAAAAAAACTCATGGGGACTGATTGAGAAGTTGGAATAATAGGGAATCAAAAAAGTGCTAAAATCTGCAAAAAAATACAATTGAGAAAAGTCATAACTTCTTGTCAGTAATGCAGAACATCATCAAAACTCAAATATGCAATATTTAAAGATAAAAATAAAATAAGGAAGTCAATTTGAGAAATACATCTCTCAATAATTGATCATTTTTTTGTACAAGGAGGGCAACATACACAGATTTTCCAACAAATTAGCAGAACATTCAGACCAATGTTTCATATTGAATGCATGCTGTTGTTTGTTTTTTCATTTTTGTAATATTGCTTGCCATATTAAAGAATTTAGTGCCATCATTTTGTGAAAATGCTTTATGCTCATTACTTGAGTACATGTGACCATAGACAACATAAAAACTGCACTTCTAGATGAACTATATTCTTAGGATTGAAAACCTAACCTTACAGTGGGTAAATGATGCAAGTTCTGACCATTATAGGGCAATTTTTACTAAATTAATATATGAGATTGGTCCTCCAGCAGTTAAAGGACACAGTGCTCAAGATTCCCTTCTGGCATCAATAGACTACAAACAAATTTTATCATATACAAAATGCGTTTTTGTATATTTTGTCAACACATCTTCTAAATGATTTCAAGAAAACTTGAAGAGATGGTGTCATACATGCCCTGATGAATGCCTCTTGAAAAGTTCAAGAACCCCCCTAAAACAGTGTTTGACCCTTTGACCGATTTTTACTGACGTCAGTGAATTACTCCTTTCTCTCACTCTAAGATCTACAATGCCTGCCAAAGTCTTGGAACATTGACATCAATTTCGAAGGTCAAAATCAATCATCCCCCTCTCCCCTACAGAACAATGTTGGTTTACTGTCAAACGGGTTAGGATTTAGGACACACTTTCTTTTGTGCTTCTTTTATGATATTTCTCTAAATCATCAACTTTGTTTTAGGGGGAAGGGGGCACAAGTAGCAATTTTTTCATGAAAGGAATGAAAGATATCAAATGCAGCTTAAATTGCTGGGTGTTCAAAATACTTTTGGCAGGCATTGTAGTTTCTCCAAAAATTACAGTTACCATAAATCCTCAAATTGCCCCCCCCCCCCTTCAAAAAGCCCCCTTCTCCTCCAATTAGCCCTCAACCTAGAACTACAAATTGTCAATGATCCCTCCCTTAAATAAGCCCACTGCTACCATAAATTCCTGAATTGATCCCCTCCATTTGATGACTTTTGCCATCTGGGTTGCCTATGGCGTTTTATTGAATTACCACAACAAATTCATGCTTTTGGTAGTAATTAATTAAATGCTCCTAAAGAAATTCCTGCTTAAAGGACAAGTGACACACTTTTCACCCTATCGTTTCTTTTCATTAACTTATAGATCATCTTTTAGAAGTAAGTTTTTTCTGGTTTGGAACAAAAAATTCTAATCAGGGGGCGCAGGGGGCGCGATTTTGCTTTGTATCACGTGACCCTATGACGTACATTGTGATAACTCAGAATTTTCCTGTAATTGATAGAGAGTTTACGAAACACGACGCGACAGGTCCAGACGAACTGTATTCGTTTACAAGCGTGTTGTAAACGTTAATATTGCACTCTATACCAGTAGCAGCAATAACAAATTATCACAATCTACGTCACGGTGTCACGTGATTCATTTCCCGCCATAATCCCGCCAGTGGGAAAATGAAATCAGAAAGGAAAAATATTTCAACAACACTCTCATACAGCATTATACTTTAAGTTAAAAGAAAAAAAAAATTTGGCGCCAAAAGCGTGTCACTTGTCCTTTAAATAAATGAGGTCTTTTAATAATGTCTTTTTAATGTCTACAATAATTTTATTTGCCCCCCCCCCCTTGTGTAAGCCCCCTCCCTCTAATAAGCCCCCATCAAAAAAAATCAAAAATAAATAAGCTACCAGGGGGCTAATTTGAGGATTTACATTATAAATGTTGTGTAACAGGCAAAAATCTTGTAGAGAAAAACATCAGTAGGTAAATCAAAAAAACAGGTTTAGCAAATATTTCTATGAAATGGGAGTTGACTGTAAAAAAATTGGTACATCTTCAGTGTAAAACCGCCTTTGTTTCCTCGGTATATGTTTCTTCCTGAAGTTTACTGGAGGGTTATAATGAAATTCTTCATTATATTCCCTGAGCATCATATCTGTGAAATCCTCTGGGCAGCCATTCCCATTGCACGTTTCAAATGTTGTATCAAGGAGGTCAAACAATTTGTATCCAAGTAGCTCAGGAATCCTAACATCTATCATGCTTCTCTTGTGCAGACCCTCAAGCCCAGAAAAAATAGGCGGGTAAATGTTGATTGTATGACAATCAACATCAAACTTCTTGGGTAATATTTTCCTGTGTAAATACATTATACCATCTCCATACTCGTTCAAGAAATTAGCACTGACAGAAAAGCAGGGCAAACTCATGGCAGTCTCCAGAACAGTCCTTCTTGTTGCTTCCATCTGTTTTGCAAGGGCATCCAGCCTTTCATCTAGTTTGGTTTTCCTAATGCACATACGAGGAAAAACTGGATGAAATATATATCTCTGTACCGAACCCTCCTTTAAAATTCCACGCAGGTAAACCATACCACTTCCTTCAATAAGCTGTTTATTACTGACAATCATCACGGGGGGTTTTTTCTTTAACGCAATTAATTTTTCTTTCGGTGTTAGGCCCATCGTTGACATATATTGCATTCGCTGCATTAAAAGTTCGATCCTATAATAAGCTGGAAAGCTGTTACTAGGTCGTATGTGCATGTAATGGAGTTTAGAATTCTCGTTACATAAGAATTGTAACGCGGCACCGGTTCCTTCAAATTTTGGCCATTGTTCACTAAGATTCAATCGCTTCAAAATTGAACCGTAGTCTGCCATAGCACATCGTGAAATCCTAAGACATTCCTCTCTTGATACCAACTTCTTTCTTATAAACGATCTATTTCTAATAAAAAAGTTTCTTGGCTTTACTTTGTTTAAAAGTGTTACTTTCCTATTAATATGTAGCACGCACGCCATCTTACCTCCTTCAAACCAGTGAAATGATCTAAAAAAGGACTGGAAAGAGCAACCTCCAATACACCAATTCGACTTACGGCCTCGTTTTGAAAAGTTCTCCTAACCACAGAAACAGAATAGGTAACTCTCGTCGGTTCCTTTGTTGTTTTTGAAGCCTGAGTCAACAATAGAATTCAAAATTCAACCAATGCGTCATTACAGTGAATCCCAGCCTACAAAAATACAAGCCAGCCTACATAAGAACCTACAAAAATAAGAACCTAGAGGCTGTTTTTCCTAAATCATGCACCTTGTAATTAAGAACCTGTTTCAGTATGATAAAATAAATAGGTTCTTACCCCAAGGGCAAAAATAGAGTTTTCAATGGTCCTTATTTACTCTCAGATTTTTAAAGATGAGGTAAAGTCACAATCGGTATAAAAATTTTCAGTTGTGCATTTTTAGCATTTTGTACACTTTAACGAAAGAGAACTTTAAAATCACTTTGACTTTTTAACATAATTATATATAGCAACATCCAAAATGTTGAAAAATGAAAATAAAAGCATTTGAATTCATAATTTTCAATTCCTGAGGATGTGTAAGATCATCTCCAGATCCATCCACTGTCATAAGGCAGCCAGTGTGCTCAAGTATCTTCCTGTAAATATCTTTGTAATGTTGAATTTAATAACATTGCCAAAAGGAAAAAACAGGGTTGAATGCATCTCTTGATAATGAATCCTAAAATTTTAAATAAGGGATCCTTCGAATAAGAATCTTCATACCCTGAAATTAATCCAAGTACCTTTCCAATAAGAACCTACTTCAGCCTGAACCTCAAAAAAGTAGGTTCTTATATGCGGGGATTTACTGTATTATTAATAAAAGCTCTTCCTTATCGAAGCCATAAATATTTTGGATCCATTTCTTGCCATTCTTGGAATGCCATATCTCAAAATTTTTCTCATTGAACCCCTGAGCAATAAAACCATTTGCCTCCTCACTTGCAATAAAATCACCTCCCTACCCCTGCACTCTTCCCCATAGATTTGATGTTCTCATCTCAGCTGATGTTCAACACAGTCAATGTACCTGGCTGCTCAAACAATGTTCGGAAAAACACCAACCCTTGCCATGTTTAAATTTCAATGATTACATGACAAGAACAACTTAGAAATTTCATAGAGCCCCCCTTGTTAAATTTTTCGACTACATCCCCGCTATGTAGATCTCCTTTATTTCATAACATGCTCGCACATTCGCAATGGGATTTTATAAACGGAATTTTATAACCAGGGGTGGTACAGGGTGTTGCACCAGTGGCGAAGCCAGCTCTGGAAAGTTGGTTATGCACTTGGGCAAATAAAATGATTGGGATTTTCAGCACCACAGCAGATCAGTTTCCTCTAAAAAATTGATAGCATTGTGAAAATACCAAGAAAAGCCATAGTACGTGTCGTAGGCTCGATTTTTATTATTTAGTAAATGCCTTTTCCTACGGCAATTGCTTGTTACTATTTATTACAATTTGCTAAACAATAAAATTATGGATAAAGTATCACGGCCAGAGGGCTTGGAGACCACACCTGACAGTATTTCAGCGAACAAAGAATGGCTTCATTGGCGACGAATTTTCGACAACTTTACATCGCTGCTACCCAGCAAAGGTTTCGATAAACTTCGCGTTTTGACGAACTTTGTGTCTCCTGAAATCTTTCAATACATTGAAGAATCAGCCCCGTATGAAGAAGCGATGGAAACTGCATAATTTGTTTGTAAAACCTACTATCGACCTCCGTAGTGCATATCATCAAGTTCCCCTCCAAAAATAAATCCAAAAAGATGACAAATCTTCTAAATAAAACCTGACCCAGCAATAAATGTTCTATATAATCTACAGTCAAATTCTACAGGATGTGCTGTTAATTCTTTTTTAAATAATGCTAGACATTCTCATACTGTGAGATGTTTGCCACAGCTTTTGACCTAAATATCTCACAGTTTCTATACCATAAGAAGTTGTCCTGGCTTTTGGAATGCCAAAATTAGTTTTATTTCGCAAATCATAATGTACTTTTTATGTTTCAAAAATCTCACTCGTGAAACTAGTGTTCAGGTTATGTTTGGTTTTGTATATTTCTATCATCAAGTACTGTAGTGTTGGTGAATGGATACTTCATTATCCAATGTTAGCAATGTTTCGTAGTCAGCATGACTGTCTTTGTAAACAATTCTGAGTGCTGTTTTGTAGATTTTATTCAGTTTAGCATTCAAACATCTGTCATGGAACATTCAAATTAATGGGCAGTAGCTAAACTGAATTTTTATGAAACTGTTCATTCGGAGACGCAGTTTATCGGAACCCATAAATGGCGATATTCTAGCACGAGCATGCAGTTTTTGGCTGGCTCTTTTGCATTAATTTGAGACGTGACTTTTGAAATTAAGATTTTCATCTATTATCACCCTTAGCAACTTTTTCTTCAGAGCTTTCTTCAACAATGGCCTCTCCGATATTGATCTTGATATCATCTTGGTTTGTCCCAAATGTTAGAAGATGACAATTTCCTTAATTCAATTTCATAAAGTTTCCTGGAAACCACTTTGATACAACAAAAGCATCAGTTTCTAGCCGTTCTAAAACTTTATCTTATTGACAGTCAGCTGCAAAAATCGTAGTTTCATCAGCAAAGTTACATACTGCAGTATCAGTTACCATTAAGGTTACGGTAAACGTTTTGAACACGAAAATTGGTTTTTCCTTCCTAAAGGCCAAACGGCTCAAGGAATCTGGATAAACTATATATCATTCGATGCACAAGATTATGGCGTATCTAGCCAGATAAAAATTATTGGCAAATAATGTTAAATGTTATTTTCCATGCGAATTTACTGGTCAAAAAGTGTACCACCTTCAAAAGCTATTATGTACCCTTGCGTTTGAGGTAACAAAATCTGACTTAGACCAGCAGGAAGTGCAGGTCCTAAGCTACCAAAGTGTGTCTCAGATTTTTTAAATTCCTCCTCTTCTTGAAACTATACCCTGTCAAAAATTGGCAAATAATTTTTCCACCCTCCGGCAGTTGTATTTGGGTATAAAAGACGGACCAGAGAAAATAAAAAAATTTTGAGACACACTTTGTTTGCCCAACGTCTGCCCTGGCAGTGTGCAAATTTTCGAGCCATTCGATTGGTTCCTTGGGTACATAATAGCTTTTTCGTACCTTCATGTAGAGGAATTTCGAGTCCGGAGAAAACGGGATTTTACTGATCGCACTTGCAAGATACACTCGTAAGCCACAGTGTAATCCGGGTCAAGTCACTTAAAGATTTAAGATCAATAAGCCTGGTTAAATAAACACGGCCGTACATTGGATATATAAGATGTACCATGCGATATTGTAAATGAGACATGCGACCACAACCGCAATGCAACGATAATCGGCTTAACAGGTCAAGAAATTTTCATGCCTCAACTAGAAGTTTTGATAAAGAAATTATGGAAACATTCGTTTACATGAGATTTTTTCCACTTTCAAAATTTCTGTTTGTTTCAAATTTGGTATCATTGTGTGCCTTGAAATGTCGGCTACTTGAATGTGAAAAAATCGAAAAAATGATGTTTTCATCCAGAAAACGTTTACCGTAACCTTAAGAATAAATCATTAATGTATAAATTAAATAGAAGAGGCCCAAGGACTGATCCTTGTGTTACACCTGCAAAGGTTTTTCGCCAAGTGCTGAATGAACCCTTTAATTTGACCCTTTGTTTTCTTCCGGACCGGTAATTATAAATCATCAGTTGAGCATATCTTAACAAAAACCATAGGGATTTAATTTCGCAATTAATAGTCTATGGTCAATGTAATCAAACACTTTCGAGAGATCCATAAGCAAGGCACCAACCGCCCCTTTTTATCCAAGGAATTCTTATAAATATCCAATGATAGAAAATTGCTCTAGATACTAAAGATACCAGATTCATAGAAAATTGCAAAAAAGCTCTAGATACTAAACAAACAGCCAGTGCACTATTGATGGATCTGTCAAAAGCATTTGACTGTCTGAATCATGACCTAATGATTGCTAAACTCAATGCTTATGGTTTTAGTAGAAGTGCCTTGAATTTCACATTATCGTACCTTAGCCAGAGGAAACAAAGAGTCAAAATAAACGGCTCTTTCAGTGAATGGAAAACCGCGTGTAGGTGTGCCACAAGGATCAGTTTTGGAACCTCTCTTGTTCAATATATACATAAATGACATGTTTATGTTTATATCAAATAGCCAAATATACAATTATGCTGATGACATTCCACCAAGACATATGTCATCCACCAAGACATTAAGCAGGCTATTAAAATACTAGAACAAGACGTAGTTCTTTTGAGAGAATGGTTTTCAAAATAATCATTTGAAAATGAATGGGGACAAATGCCACCTTATAAATTTTGGTAAAGGCAGCAATGACACATCTCTGAAAATAGATAAAACGATAATTTAACCAAGTAAAGAACAAAATTCTTGGAATAAGTATTGATAATAATTTGTCGTTCAAAGGACACGTACAATCGATATGCAAAAAGGCCAGCCAAAAGCTACATGCTTTATCCCGAATCTCCAACTACATGGATGATAGAAAAGTAAAACAGACCATGCACGTCTTCATTTTATCACAATTTAGCTACTGCCCTTTAATTTTGATGTTTTGTGATCGACAGATGAACAACAGTATAAACAGAATTCATGAAAAATCTTTGCGTCTTGCCTATGATGACTATGAATCAAGCTTTCAAACTCTTCTTGAAAAAGACAACTCGACGTCTATCCATGATAAAAATCTGCAATTGCTTCTTACAGAAATATATAAAACTTTACATAATCTCAACCCAAGTTTCATGAAAGAAATCTTTACTGAAAGAAATACATGCTATAATCTTAGAAAGATATCCCGAATATCGCTATCAAAACCAAAATCAAATTGTTATGGTATAGAAAGTACAACCTTTATGGGATCCAAGCTCTGGCAAGAGCTTACAAATGAGATTAAAACGTC